CCCCGGGAACCCGGCCATCCCGGCAAGGGCAACTACCGGACGCTCGACCCGGCTGCCGAGGACATGTTTGACAACGGGAGCTTCCTGCGCCGGAGGAAACGCTTCAAGCGCACCGACATTACCACCTACCCCGGCTACATGCAAAACTCCAGTGCCTTCACGCCCCCGCCCGCCGGCCGCCCCGCGGCACCAACAGCACCCTACCCCAACACCCTCTGCTCGCCCAGCTACGGCCCCCAGCTCTCCGGCACCGTCTTCCACCCCTACGCAGCTGGGACAGCACCGCCGGCACAGCATCCCAGGATGTTCAGCATCGACAGCCTCATCAGTGGGCAGCAGGCCCTGCAGCCCTCACCACCTGCCGAGCTGGGCCACCCATCGCTGGGCTTGCCCGGAGCCGAGCTGGCTCCCGCCTGCTCTGCCGGCAGCTCCGAGCCTCCCTGCTTCCAAGTGCAGCCCGTCAGCCCCGGCTTGTTGGGCCGGGCTGGCCCCAACACCCTGGCTTACCCCTATGCCGCCTCGCCCCCCCAGCTGCCCGTGGCTCAGGGCAGCTACTCGCCCGGCAGCCCACAGCTCTATGGGGCTCCCAACAGACTGGCCCTGCCAGCCATGCGGCCTCCTGCCTGCGCAGAGCATGGCGAGCAGCTCCTGGGGCTCTCTGCGTCGCCCCTCGGCCAGTTCGGCTCCAGCAACGCCTACATGAGGCAGCCCAATTTCCCTGCCGGCCTGGAGCGGTACATGTGATGGGGTCGGGGGGGGGCTTGGCTGGACATCCCCAGGCTCCCACGAGCATCTCTGGACACGCGGACTTCTCCCCGCTGTGCGGATCGGCTGGGGGGGGATCGGGAGTCTCCAGCCTCTGGCTGTGTGCGGACACACACCTGTGGGGGTACCTAACTCCTCTCTTTCTCAGCTTATTTTTAACTGGAGGCAAGGCGATCTATTTTTCTGCCCCATCCCTTCCTGGAAAAGGTGCTCTCTGGCTGCATCTGCCAGGCAGGGCTCCCCACGCCCAGGGGGTGTCCCTTCTGCACAGCCTGACCCTGGGGATTCCGTCTGCGGCAGGGCACCTTGAGCACCCCGGGGCACGCCCGGGGTGAAGAGGAGCACACCCAGGAGGTGGGTGCGTGGTGTACTGTGCAGCAACCCAGAGAGCAGGAACTGTCCTGCAAATGGGCTTTCTCCTCTCTTCCCTGGGTGCCTCCTCTGTAACTGGAATGAGAGTTACCAAAAAAAAACCCCCACTAAACCAATTCACTGGATTTTAAATGAATATTTAAGATGTTTATCATTTCCTTCCTCTGTAGGAAAAAAACCCACCACCCTGACTACTTCTTTTTACTATTTTTAAAAATAACTTCTATTGTTAGAAAGGACTTTTTTAAAATAAAGCTTTTTCTTTCAACATGTCCAGTGCTGCTGTTCCTCTGGCTCTGGCCGGACCTTGGCGAGAGGAAATTATCAGTCTCGTAACCAGTGGGAGACAGACTCGTGCTGCTGTTGTGGCACTGCCACGTCTTACATTTTTAGTGACACTCTCTAAAGCTGTCTATTTTATTATGATTTTTTAAAAAATGAATGGTAACTAACCACTGCCGAGCCGTGTGAAGGCTGCAATAAGTTCTCTGTCACCTGCAAGGTTTGCCCACACAGCTCTTACTGGACTCGATGGTTTCCATTTGCGCAGCAGGGAATGTGTCTTGCCTCCGAGGAATCCCTTGCAGGTGAAATTCTGATTTAGCACATCAAATTACGAGATCATAGCTTTCCTTCCTAGCAACAAAATCAATTAAAATTCCAACCTGTTCACTGGCCGGGCTGCTGCTCTTTCTTTACAGGACTGCCAGCCAGACCATCTCACCAGGTTTGAAGGCAGAATTCCCCGTCCTCGGATTTAGTGTTTTTTAATTTAAACATCCTCTGGGTAAAAGTGACAAGCTAGGATTTCTTTCCTGTTTTTCAAGGGTGTCCTCTGAAGCAGAGCAGTTTCTCGTAGTCCCTATTGCACCTTCCTCCTGCTTAAGGAGGAGTTTGATGTCAGTTGAGCTTTGGTGCAAAACTGAGCATCTCGTTCCCCGGCTGCTGATCATGACCGAAAGCTGGGTGTACAGGCAGGTACTGAGGAGCCAACTTTTGCTCACAGCTTGGGAGCTTGTGGCTTTTCATTCTTTTATCCCACGTGCTCCGTAGAAACTGAGAGTGGGTTTAGTGTGAGAGGGGAGGGAAGAAAATACTTTTTTCCTCTTGACTTCCTTAAAATTGCAGCTTCATCTGTCTCTAAAAACGGGCCTGGCTCTGGTCTGTTGCTTTCGGCTGAGCTGCTGGGCTCTGGGTTTCCTCTCTGGTCCCTCCAGCTTCACCTTTTCAGCTTTCACACCAGTTCCAGCAGCAGCTTCTGTGCTTTTCCCTTGGTGATAGCCCTGCTCCGAAAGGGCATTGTGAAAAAACTTACCTCTTAAAATACATTGGCTCTCTACAGAAGATATCTGTAGACGGAGATCTTCTATCTAATGAAAGTTTGCAAAGTGCCATTCCTGTTCATAACACACTGTCTGTATAGATGGACTGGGGGGATGCTGAAATAATTGCTTGCAAGGACAGTCAGCAGAAAGGACACTTGTCATAGCTCACATTCATTCCCAGGGCCTGGTCCTGCAATGTTTTGCAAACAAAAGCACTTTTGAAGTCTTGCCTAAGTATCCAGTGGGTCAGAGCCAGACATGTGCCCGAAGCACTGGGTCCGCCGGCTTCCCTCCAGCATCACCGGGTGCCAGGCTGGGACTCTGCTGGGTTTGCACTGCCAGCAGGAGGGTTGCTGAGGTAGGGGAGGACCAAGTACCGGCATGAGAGGAAAACAATGTTGGGTGGAGGGGGTGGGCAGGAGACGCTGTCGTTCTGCCTGGGTGGGATGCACCAGGAATAGGTGGCCGAGCCGGGACATCTCAGACCGGGCTGAGCCTGCTTCTCCCCGGTCACCCTGGAGCCCTGCAGGAGCGGGGAGCCGGCGTCGGAAAGGGCTTTCCAAGTTCCTGGCATCTCTGGGTGTTAACTCAAGTGCTGGTGGAGCCTGGGGGGCTCAGGGTGCCTGAAGGGCTGGGCTGTGGCTTGATCCTGTCCCCCAGCCGCCTGCGCCCTCCTGCCACGGGGCTGACTGGAGAGAAGCACCCAGCTCCAGATCTTAGGGTGGGGGTCTACAGGAGACCCATCCCACCCCTGTACCTGTGCAAGAGGGGTCTCTTCAGCCAAGGGGGCTCTGGTGTGAAGCAAGAGTCACCACAGTGGACTGGATCCCTGAAAACGTGGCTCGGAGAGAGCAGATGACCCTATCCTGGTGTGTTGGGACAAACCCTAGTGTGCAGTGTTGGGTTGCACATCTTCCCAGGGTCCTGTATCTCCCCGTCTGCCAGACAGCCCCAGCCCAGAGCCCCCTGCAAGTGGCAATAAACCACCCTCACTGCAGTGAGGCCTTACGCTGCCAAACAAGCTGGAAAGCATGGGGAACAGACCCCTTTTCTTCTTTTTCCTGTAGATATTAATCCTCACACGCACAAACCTCTGGCAACTTGTATTGTGATTGTCATTAAACTAATGCCTTAAGGGTGTCTTCTTGGTTAACTTAATGTATCCCAACCAGGCTTTTAAGCTTTCATTTCAAAGCTTTGTTTACAGTTAGGGTGAATCTAGCAAATGAGTAGGATTAAAGTGTCATGTAAAGCATGAGCCTTGCTGGGACAGAGTAGTTTTAAGCTTTGTAAAATTTATACCTGAGCCCTTCATCTGTTTTAGTGTCTTCTCAATGTCCCTGTTCAGTGAATAAGAGGGATTTGAATGAAACAGGAGTAATTATCACCCAGATTTCAGTTGTGAAACCAAGTCTCCTTTGAAATCCTCCCCTCTTTATTTAGGGAGTTTAGGGAATATTAAGTAATGACAGTCATAACTATCTCGATCTTGCTCACACAAAAGCCAGAGGCAAAACTTTCTTTGCTCTCCAAGATTGTGGCATGAACGTCATCCTTTAGGGTGATGGCAAGAGGTCCTGTGGACATCTCGCAGTGGGGAGAGCCCCATCTTGAGCCCGCGAGACGCAGGGAGGGGGCGCTGGAGTTGATCCCGAGCACCAAAGAGATTTGAGTGGCGATCTGGGCTATCGCCAAGACAGTCTGACTTCTCAGGGAACAGCCCTTTGCAAATCAGGCTGAATTCAGATCTCCCAAGCTGCACGTTCAGAAACAAATAACCAAAATGAGCTGCCACTTTGAAAAAGATGCTTGTTTTCCTCTGGGAGATACTGGCTGCCCAGGGAAGACCAACCGAGGTGCCACATCTGTCTCTGTACAACAAGCGTGTTTCATGCTTGTACCGCCTTCCTACAGCTTCCCCACAGGTTAAAACAAGCAATAAGAAATGCTCTTTCCAGCTGATATTCCCAAGCTATAAATAGTGTTTTCTATCTGGTTGCAAACAAACACAGCATTAGCTGAAATTTTAGTCGAAGCACATTTCCTGAAGAACCTGTCAGTCTCTCTGGTAGTGTAAGACTTTGTCTGGATGCTGCCAGCTGTCCACTGGCAGTCCCAGTGTTGGAAATTTTATACCATAACTAGCTTTTATTCTATGCAATGCTTTGCCCTTTGCAAATACACGGCTTGAAGACAGTCAGTGGTGTCTCTTTGAGGTCAAGACTGAGTCGGTAAAGTCAGCCCGTGATGGGGACATGGGCAGTGGGTGCAGTGAGACGCGCTGAGATTGGCTTTGCCAGCTGATAATGAGTTTTTAACAAATTACCATCCGGGAGTCAGCACTGCCTGAGCACTGAGCTACATCTCGGGATCTTGGGGGTATGTCACCACCTCTGCTACGTTATATTTGGGTCCTTTATATCTGGGTCCTTCATATTCGGGCAGGAGCGGGTGATGCAGCCGCTGTGTTTG